TTGGGGTTCAGGGTTTGAGGTTTTGGGGTTTAGGGTTTGGGGTTTAGAGGTTCAAGGTTTGGGGTTTGGAGGTTTGGGGTTTAGGGTCTGGGGTTTAGGGTTTGGGTTTTAAGATCTAAGGGTTTAGGGTGTAGGGTTTTGATTTAGGGTGGGGTTTGGGGTTTAGGGCTTAAGATCTAGGGTTTCGGGCGATTTGGGGTTCAGGATATAGGGTATAGACATGGGGCATGTATAGTGGATGGAAAGGAAGTTAGAAACTACTATGTCAGGTTTCTTTTCTGCGGGTTTATGGAGTTTTTTTTGTGGGGAACTACACTTAATGTGTGTCAGCATGATCTGGATACCAGTAGAGGGCCTGCGGCTTGTCAAAACTATTGTATGCTAAGGGCCGGTTTAATGCGGGTTTTTGAGTGACGCAAATTCACGGGCATGTTCCAAACCTGGGATCTTGACGAACTCCTCCAACACGAGGGTACCCTTGCTACAGGACCCGCAAAAGGGCACCATGATTTTGGCGTGTACTCGTTGAGGTTGCAGGGATTGCGAGGGCTGTAGTTGCCAAGTGTCCATGGTCTGGGATCTATGGGAAGACATGTTAAGACAGAGGAGGGCGCTTGTCAAATGTTAGGATTGATGGATTCAGGGTGTGAGTAGGTGTGGGAAAGGGTTCGCGTGGGCATCTCTCCATATGAAGTTTGTTGGTAGAAGTTGTGTTCCAGGAGCATTTCCATATATAGAACAGATGCATAATTGAATTTCGAGAACAAATTCCCAATGGGATCTGGGGAGGCTTGTGCATGTGAGGTTCTTACAGCAAGGGGATCTTGGTCACCCAACCCCCAAATTAGGATCCTGCAGCAATTGTATGACCGTACTCAGGTCCAAACTTAAGGGGTTGTATGCACCATAACGTCAACCCAAAACCCTAAACCCTTTCATTATCTTGCAAGTTTTAGGAACCTTGGGGGAATTGACAAGAAGCATCCGAAAGGGCCACATCAGGAAATGTAGATCCCAGCTTTCCTAGGGTGGATGCTAAAAATCCTGCATGTCCCTGCGTACTCTCTGCCTAATGATTTGTGGGAGTACGTCTCAGCTTTTTCGGCTTAAAGTCCTAACTTTGGGTTTTGGGTCGGGTCACTTCTTTCGTCCCGTCTGATATTCTAGCAATTCTAGCAGGTTTCCGCGGCAAAGCCCACGAAGACAGGCTTCAAGTTGTTGCTTCTTCAATTCACGCGCCCTGGACCCTCGATGTCCTTCCCTTTTGGGATTCTGTCCCACATATTAGTAGTGTATATACCCAAAAAGGCAGGACATCCAGGGACCAGGCACATAGGGCCATAGCAACCTCCGGCTTCCCCATAAGGTGCTCAGCACACAAGTACCGTAAAGATATTCGGAAACCTCTGACTTCGTCGGTCCTGCACAGACGCATGGCTCTTGCAAGATCACATTTCCCTTCGGCAGGTCCTGCTAAGCCCTCCTTTGCTAGATTCGATTGTCGTCTTCTGTAGATCTGGACCTTGCCCAACTGTGAGCAACTAGACGAATGATATTTTCCCAGCAGAAGTGGCCCAACAAGTGTTATTATTATGAAAAACGACAAGCAAACCCACAGGTTGCCGTGGGGCCAGTGGATTGCCCTCCTTGGCACTACGGGTGGTCCTTCCGGCGAGTCGCGCAGCGCGTTGCCCGGGGGCTGCGGCGCTGATGGCGGCCTGGTCACGTCCACGGTCTGGGATCTCAGTTATCTGGCATTGGGTTGGCTAGGAATCAAGGAATGGAAAAGAAAATGGAAACTACTATGGGGTTTAGGGTTTAGGCAATGGAAAAGAAAATAGAAACTACTAATGGGTTATATAAGTTATATAGGGACTATCATAAGGAGCCATTCCCTATTCCTTGCTAACCAAGGGCCAGTGGTTCTGGGCTCAGCCCCAAGAAACTTTCAGAGCGGTGGGGATGATGACACAGTCATGGTACTTCTGATTAAGGAATAGTGTTACATTGCCATATTATGTGGCGCTACAGCTATCTGAGTCTTGTTGCGGCATTCAAATAGCCCATAAAAAGTAGTTCGGCAAAAATCCATGGGCATACATGTTGAGACGTTTCCCTATCAAGCGCTGCCTCCTTCATTGGGGGAACAGCTTCTCACCTTGAAGCCTGGGCCCTCAACTTGCAGGTAGGGAATGGATCCCTCTAGCAGCACCATGTAAAATCCCTTGTACCATGGTAATCTCGATTTTCTTTCCGCTTCTTCATTCCCTAAGAATAAGCCATTGCCTCCATAAACCCTATACTCATCTATCTGAATCCCCAGCTTCCATTCCACGTTTTCTGCTTGCTTTGTTCCCATTTAACTTCCGTTGCCGGGAGAATATTCCTAAACCTCACACACCAGAAGCCCTCAAGGCAGCAGTTCAGAGGCAATGACGGAGCATGCGCAGTTGGCCTGCCCCGAGCTTGAAGCATACGCGCTTCCTTGCGCACTGCCCTCACCTGCAAATGACTCTTCAAAATATACAGTGGTAAGCAGTTCTAGTAGTAGTGCTTTAACTACCAATAGTGCTAGTCGTAGAAGTGGTAGTGGTAGTCGTCGTAGCAATAGCATCAGCAGCATGTGTTTAATGATCTCTCCCTATGTAGTTAGTGAGACTGTCAGAAGACTCTGCAGATGGCTGCTGTGCAGAACCGTAGGCTCGCTGGGGGCCAGTAGGGAATAAGGGAATGTATTTTATGGGGATTATAGGGGGATTGTATTCCCTTATTGCCTGCTAGCCACCGGTAAGTAGGTGGTGACTTCACTTTTGTTTTCAAGCAGCAAGCTGCAACTACTGCTGATGAGCTTGAAACCGCGCTATTCTTCTAATAAGCACCGGAGATGTGGTACGTGCTGGTCGGCTGGAAATTAATCTACACAGGGGTGGGGTCAAGGACCTAAGAATCAGTGCCTTCCTGCGTGACGCGTGCATTCACTTTAGCATGGGCCTAGATATGGACATGCGCGGGTTCGGTCGTTCAGCAGTGCATCCTTTCCTTCTTCATTTCGGCTAGCGCAGCCTCCAATTTTAAAAGTGGAGCAGATTTCCAGGGAGCCATTCAGGAAAGCCGCGTAAGATCCAGTGGGTCATTATGGTATTCCGGTAGGCCCGCCAAACTTGGATGTTGCTTGTGGCTACAGCCTTTGTTACTCGGCCCTCGCGTCCTTTACAATGGCAGGTCTTCCTACCACAGGCCTTCACCTCAATCCCATTCCCTACAAGCCAACCCCATAAGACTACAAACAGAATCTAATACCCTAAACCCCTAAACCCTGCGAAGGCTTAAAGCCTAAACCCATGCGCCCTCAACCCCTTCTGAACCCTGAAGCCTGGCTGTGGAGGTAGCATCACTTCTTTCTAGCATGCCCGGAAATTTCTCACGAATAAGTTTTGTGTGCTTCGACATTACATGTTGGGGTAGAACAAGGACCCAAATTTCGGGAAATATGTATTAAAAATGCAACTATTCCATGGCAGCACCCGTTGGAATGAAGTGAGTTCCCTTGAAACATTGCCTTCTTCCCCATACCCAGCCCTGAAGATCAAAATGAAAAGAAGCTGTCTAGGTACACACAGCAAAACAGAAAATCCCGCACAAAGCTCCGCTCAAAACTTCGGGCATAGAACCTTCAAAGCCCTAAAGAATTCTAGACCCTAAGCCCTGAAAACCTAGACCCTTAAAACCCTAAATTCCGTAAAGCCCAGATTCCCAAGACCCCAAAGAATTTAGACCCTGAGCCCTAAGGCTGGATCCATGTTAGGGGTTCTTCATATTTTGAGGGTAGAGTTTAGGGGTTTAGCGGTTTAGGGTTTAGGGCGGATTCCTTTTATTTGTGTACAAAGGATCCTTCACCCTAAACCCAAAACCCTAAACCCTAAGCCCTAAACCCTAAACCCTTAGGGTAATGTGGGCTAAGGAGGAGTCCCTGCGAATCTCCCCATTTCCAGCTTCAGCACTGTGGCTTTCACACCACCATTGGGGCATTTAAACAAATGAGCCATAGTCTAAACTCCTTAAAGGGGGGGTTATATGGGGGATTATAGGGATATATAGGGTTT